TTTTTTGAGCGAACAAATGAAGATTTGCTCTTCATAGTCTGGCCTGGTTGCCGTAAAGGAAAGATATAGGAAGTTGATAGCCAAATATGGTTCGAAACATTAACATAATTAAAAGGCTAGATGAGCATCTTATAATCTCTGAACACCCCAATCATGAAGGTGGTGGGGGGTCTTCATGCCCCAGCCCTTTTCTCAGTGCATCCAGAGACAAGCACGAGGGTCTTTTTAAATTTTAAAGTTGACGATTATAGGCAAATAGATCCTGTAAGGGAAGAACCCTCATGGTTCCTTTCCTCTGTGTAAAGCTAGCAGAGTCATTTGCCCAAGGTCACGTGGTTAGTTAGCTGTAAAACTAGGATTCAAAGTGTGTGCCCAGGATGAGGCTCAGCTCATAACCTGCACTGCACCAAGTACCATAAAGCTTGGTCACCCACCTGGGTATTACCAAAAGGCTCTCTCTCTACATGTTTTTTTTTGCTCCCCTAAATTTCTCTTTTTGTCTCTCTCCTGAAATCCGTACCTCAATGCACAAGATGTTGGGAATTTCAACCAATGGCAGACCTCTTATAGGGGCAGTGTGACTTGCAGGATTAGGCCCCCTATAAAAACTGAAGCACCAGGGAGCGGGGGAAGCATGAATTTCCTTTAGGTAGCTCACATGTTAGAAAGAAGAGTAGAAGAGTCTATCTACCTTTACCATCTCTCTCTCTCTCTCTCATCTCTATATAATCTATTTATCTTTTTTTTTTTTTTGAGACGGAGTCTCACTCTGTCGCCCAGGCTGGAGTGCAGTGGCCAGATCTCAGCTCACTGCAAGCTCCGCCTCCCGGGTTCACGCCATTCTCCTGCCTCAGCCTCCCGAGTGGCTGGGACTACAGGCGCCCACCACCTCGCCCTGCTAGTTTTTTTTTGCAATTTTTAGTAGAGAGGGGGTTTCACCATGTTAGCCAGGATGGTCTCGATCTCCTGACCTCGTGATCCGCCCGTCTCGGCCTCCCAAAGTGCTGGGATTACAGGCTTGAGCCACCACGCCCGGCATCTATTTATCTTTCTATCCATCTCTATCATCTACACACACACACACACACACACACACACACACACACACTTATATTTTAATGCACCTTCAGATAAAACACTTTCTTCTTCCCTAGGAAAGACAAACAAGGGGAGGAGAGAGGTCAGGAAGTTTTTTCTACTTGAAGGAAACATCGGGCATGGGAAAGAAGCACCTTATGTGCCCCCAACCACATGCACTATTTCTAAAACCCAAAATGCCTCTGAAAGTCAAATGCAAGCCTGAGAGGTGAAACATTTGATTAAGGACCCACAGCTAGCAAGGGATTTTCACCAGGGATGTCTTGCCGAAAGTCTGCATTTTCTCTGACTGCCAAGCTGCCTCTTGGATGATCTATTTGATGCATACATACTAAGATGTCAGTCAAGGTCTGGGTTAAGAAAGAAGGTGATCTTCATGGATGGGCTTCCACTGGATGGATCTCAGCCTTCTTAAGCTTCTTGGTCAAGATCTGCATAGAAATGCAGAAACCACTTTGATGGGGGTCGGTGGGCGTGGCTAGTAAAACTGTGGAATCCCTATTAACCTCAATAGGGAAGCCAGCAGGTTCAAGAAGAGACCCAGAGTCATCATATGAGACATGGGGTTTCTTTTCTTTTCTTTTCTTTTTCTTTTTTTTTTTTTTTTTTGAGATGGAGTCTCACTCTGTCACCCAGGCTGGAGTGCAGGGGCGCATCTTGGCTCATTGCAAGCTCACCTCCTGGGTTCACACCATTCTCCTGCCTCAGCCTCCCGAGTAGCTGAGATTACAGGCATGTGCCACCATGCCTGGCTATTTTTTTTTTCTTTTTTGTATTTTTAGCAGAGATGGGGTTTCACCATATTGGTCAGGCTGGCCTCGAACTCCTGACCCAGTGATCCGCTTGCCTTGACCTCCCAAAGTGCTGGGATTACAGACATGAGCCACCCTGCCTGGCCGAGACTTGGGGTTTCATCAGGGGATTACACACAAGGGATAGTCCAACGGCAGCAGGCTGGACAGGACAGGCTGGACAGGAGAATCGCCTTACATATAGAAACGGTCCAGTGGAGGTGGGCTGGACAAGATAACTGCATTGCCCGGTGGTGGTGGGCTGGGCAGGAAAACTGCAGCCACTTGCAAACAGCATGCAGTTGATATAGCATTTTCACTTAATATCCTCCCTTTAACGACCTCCACCTGGCAACCTTCATTTAACCCAAAACTCAGGATGTCAATTCCCTGTACGGCCTGTGATCCAAAGGACAGGCTGGGAGCCAGATGCTCCTCATAGACCAGGAATGAATCTCTGGGTTGGCTATGCCTGGATTCCCTAGCTTGGAACATACATTCAGGTGTGTCCTGCCGTACAGGGTCATCCTAAGGGTGTGCTTGTTATTACCCTCAGGCATGTTCAGCAAACAGGGTGTTACTAGCAAAAATTATCTCCAGTGCAGGACACTGTTTTTTGTACCTATTTGTGGAAATCAATCAAGCCCCTCCTATTTCTTCTTCAGTAGGGGAGATGGATTTGGTTCAGTAAATAAAAGCTCGGGGTTGGTGGCTTGTCCAACCCTTTGGTGATATTGATCAATACAACCTACCATTTATTCAACACTATACAACAGGCACTGTGTCAAGAACTTCGATTTCATTGACTAATTTATTTCTTCTAATAACCCTGTGTGGTAGGGTCAATTGTTATTTTTATTTTAGAGCTAAAGAAACAGAGGTTACCAGCTGGTACATGGCAGAGCCAGGAGCCCCATCTAGTTCTGTGGACTCTGAACCAGTGTTCTCATGACTTTTGTGAGATTTCTGAGTGGAAGGCAGACACTTCCTGTTCCTGAAAATGTAGTTTCCCTGACCTGGATGTCCATGAGGGTTTTTCTTGTGGCCCAAGGCTGTGCACATTGATTGAAGCAGTCCTCAAGTCTCCTTGCCCATCTGCTGAAGTGGGGTAACATCCCAAGATGAATGGAGAAAAAGAGACTAAGCCCCTCTGCCCTCCATCCTCATCAGACAAGGGGAGTACCCTCACTCTGGCTGGGACCCTGCCCCAGCAAACTGCCAGGATAGAGTCCTTTTATTTCCACATAGACACCTGTCTCTTCCGCTGTCAGAATTTTCCTAAGGAGGGGTCATCATTTGAGCAATTTCGATATTTCCCTGAGAAGCAGGAGAATCCACTTCGGGTGGCTCCATTTTTCCAGGCATTACTGGGACCCAGCGCCTCTGCCTGTAAGGAGCTGTTTTATCTGAGATCAGCTCACATCCAGAACCTGCTGACAGTATTGAAGTTCAAACTTATTCAGCGCCAGGGCATGTTATTTTTTTCCCAGTCTTCCCCAGGCCTCTAATATGAATTACTTCTTGGGGAAGAAAGACCATTCACACACCTGCCTTTTAAATGCCAATGTGTTTGCTTATCAGATTGTCTGCCTGGAAGGAGGTATGTCAGCACCTTGGCATAAGCCTTCGTGGAGAAAAATGGACTGTATGACTACTGGACATCTAAACATTTTTAAATAAATAGGCAAAAAGTCATGGCATTAATTAATAAGCCCAGAAACTTCCACAGAGCTTCATGGGCTCTTTTACCTAGACCAGAGACCTAGTCTGGTGAAATACATGTGCTGATAATTGTGGAGGACAACTGTGGCTTTTGCCAGCCTGATAAACACCATTCTTTGTTTTGGCCATCCAGAAGAAGCATCCAGATTTTGCTGTGGGACACGTTCTCTTGCCCATTCGATACAGTCTTGGTATATAAGCAGGGTGCCCCGCCGACAGCCAGGGGGCAGGTATGAGACTCAAGCTTGGCCATTCAAATACTTTCTCCCTGTAATTTAAATTTTACTACAAGGAAAAAATGGTGGCATCTATTCATTCCAACAACAATTGCCCAAATAGACTGTTCACTTGTTCCTGCCTCCCAGATCCCCAGTTGTATTGGTTCCCATTCTTTTTAAGAGCTGTTTCCCCAGCTTTCCATTTGATTCCTTGAACTATCCCATACCACGCCAATAAATTCATTTTTGCTGAACTCAGAATTGCTGTCTGTTGCTCACAAGCACAGCCTCCAATGACTGTAATGATTCTCACAGGGGACACATTTCTTTTTGTGCTGTCTGTGCGTTGTACAGTGGGCCAAATTCCTGAATGTGCTCTTGTCTGTCTTGCCTCACTCCCTGGCCTGAAGGCACTGGACTAGTACAGAGAAGGCCATTGGGTGGACCAGGTGTAGCCCTTCCTAGAACCCCCCTGGACCCCCAGAGGTGGCCTGGCAGGTTCAGCCAAGTAGATACAGTTCTAATCAGCTAAGCCAATCTGACCAGCTCCCTGTAAATTTGGAAGAGAGACCATGGAAAAGAGTGACCATTTGGTAACAAGAGGAAACTACAATGGATGAACTGGGGGCAGCAACCTTCTGACACTGGTCTTCTCTCTGCCCCTATAGTATCCCACAGCCACTCCCGAAAGTAGAGACTCACCCTCTGCCTGACTCCTGCTGCTCATTCAGAGCTCGCCTTAAATGTCACTCCCCAGAGTAGTCTTCCCTGACTGCCCAATCTAAAGTAGCCACTCCTTATCACCTCACTCAATGTTCGTCCTTTGCACTATCTCACGTTTTCTTGTTAATTATCAGTCCCCCTGCAGCTAGAACATAAGCTCCATGAAGGCAGTTCCTTGTCTGTTTTCTTCATGCTCCCTGAATCTAGAACAGTGCTCATCTCGTAACAGGCACTAAGTATATATCAAGTGACTATATCTTCTCTTTTATTCAATATATTATTGTGGTTGAACTGTGTCAGTCCTGATGCCTGGTAGCCGTGAATGTGCCTTATTTGAAAATAGGGCCTTTACAGATGTAATCAGATTAAGATGGTGCCATACTGGAGTATTAGGCCTAATTTAGTGACTGGTGTCCTTATAAGAAGAAGGAAATTTGTACACACACAGAAGGAGAACACCATGTGAAGCTGCAGGCAGATTGGAGTGACACGCCTACAAGCTGAGGGACCCCAAAGACTGCTAGCAACCACCAGAAGCTGGGAGAGGCATGGAACAGATGACCACAAGAGCCTCCAGAAGGAACCAACCATGCCGACGCCTTGATTTTGGACTTCCAGCCTCTCATATTGTGAGCAAGTAATTTTTTGTTGTTTTAAGCTACCCAGTTGTGGTACACAGTTATGGTAGCCTGATATGGTTTGGCTCTGTCCCCATGCAAATCTCATCTTGAATTGTAGCTCCCATAATTTCCACATGTTATGGGAGGGACCCGGTGGGAGGTAATTGAATCAAGGAGGAGGGTCTTTCCCATGCTGTTCTCGTGATAGCGAATACATCTCATGAGATCTGATAGTTTTATAAAGGGGAGTTTCCCTGTACATGCTGTCTTTGCCTGCCACCATGTAAGATGTGACTTTGCTCCTCCTTCACCTTCCGCTATGATTGTGAGCCCTCCTCAGCCATGTAGAACCGTGATTCCATTAAACCTCTTTCCTTTATAAATTACCCAGTCTCAGGTATGTTTTTATTAGCAGCATGAGAACAGACTAATACACAGCTCTAGCACTTAATGTATGTCCTAAATGAATTCCTTTCCTAGCATCACAAAGAATGTGCAAGCTATTCCTCTCTTCTCTAAGTTGAGAACAATTCCTTATAATCCAAGCTTGGTAAAGTATCATTTCATTTATTCATTCAAACATTTGTTGAGGGGTCTACTACAGGACAATCATTGGAGATATAAGAATAAATAAGACATTTTTGATGAAATTACTCTCAACCAATTAGCAACATTCTCCTCTGCGCTCATATAGTACTTTGCAGGGATCCTTAGTGTAACCCTTATTACACTGCATTTTAGTTAGAGGTTTCCAGCTTCTTGATCTCAAGGGCCTTATGTTCTTTAATGCTTGGTGCTCCATGCCTGGTACAAAGAAAATATTCAATAAATCCAATGAATAAATGAATGAATGAATGGTGGATTAAATATTATATTCATAATAAAAATAGGGAAATACTAATGTGCCGCTGAAGATATTGTTGGAAATCCTTTACCTTTCCTTGTCATGTGTGTGTTGCAGGGTGAGGGAAGTTATACAGTTTGGTGGGATGAATAGGAAATGCAAGTCAGGAGATCTGGTTTTAATTCTAGCGCTACTATTGGAGATGACCAGTCCTGTATGACCTCAACATGGAGGACCAGAGTAAATAAGTAAAACTGGGGGAGAGGGAGGGATGGGATGAAAGGAGAGACAAAAGGAGGGAAAGAGAGAGAGAGGGAGGAAGAGAAAAAGATGGAGAGAGAGAGAGAGAGATAGAGAGAGATTGCAGCTCTCACAGCTTAATATAATAACTTCCCAGGAGTCAGAGATAAATAAACATAAAATGGGTTGCTTTGGGTGGTGCTAAGTTCTTCATTTCTTCGCTGCTGGAGGTGTTCAAGGAGAGGGTGGGTGGATGAGTGATGTTTGTCAGGAATCCTGTAGACTCAGGACATTCATGGAGAGGGTGCTGATGGGATTAGATGGTCTTTCACCTCACACAGGTGGTGTGATTCTATGCGTGTGACTTTGGCCAAGCCACCCTGTCTCTGGAAACCAGCTTCCTAGTCACCTGAAGGAGCTGCCTCTTCAAGTTCCTGAGAGTCAGAGTTCTCTGAGTCTAGCTGAACTGAATATGTCTGCAGTCTAGCGAGCTGGGCAATGGGGATGGCCAGCACTGGGCTTTCTGGAGAAGAAAGGTCATTGGTGCTTCTACAGGGCAATGTGAGGCATTGGAGGAAAATCTTGATGTCTTCAGAAAACATAAATTAAATTTCTCTGCTATCTCTAAACAAATAGCTGTGCAAGGTCTTTTGCCCCTGAAGTAAGCATTTCTGGGAGGCAGGAGGATTCAGTGGCATAGGCTAGAAGTGGATGTCTTATCCTAAACCCAAGAACAGGTCTAGTCTTCGAACAGAGTCCAGTGACCAGGCCATGGTGTGGTCTGAGGTATGCAGTTATCAGGTCTTTTGTAATTATCTGTTTGTAGTACACACGAGTTGCTTTCTCATTCATGTAGCTTATTTTGTAATATTTGCTTTTTCTAATTAATTTTCAGTAAAAATTAAGTTTGAAGTAATACTAAGAAAGTTGCAAGGAACACATTCGGTTGCAAGTAAAGCAAAATAGTGGATAAAAGGGTGTCAGAAAAAAATCACCCCAAACCAGATACACAAATACATTCAAAAGTCCCCTGTCTTATGAAAGGGGGTGGGGTTGAGAAGTAGGAATATAAAAAGAGGAAAAGAGGTTGTCTTTTGCTTCTATAGAGATCCATTAAGATTTATTTTTAATGAGATTAAAGGTAAGTAACTAAGCTAAGTTATGGGCTGCCCAGGGTTTGATTGCCTCCTAACTCTGTATTTATTAGCATCTGCATGCTCTTTACAGGTTTGCAAAGTCCTATTATAGCTGATATTTATTTAGATCTTCATAACAACCTTGCACATTAACGTCTTATTATCTCCAGTTTGCAAATTAGGAAAACAGAGCTAAGTGAAGGCTTAAGTTCAAGATTGCATGATCGGCCCAGGTCTTTCAGCTCCAAGCTCAGCATTGCCCGCCTCTCCTCACCCAATGTCCTATTCCATTCCAATCCTGCCGTACTCAGCTAACTCTCACTTGGCTTCAGATGCTTTTGTCCAAAGGAAAGATGGTAGCTGATAGGGCTTGGTGCTTCCATAGTTTTGCAACCAGATGTTCAAACTGCAGATTTACCACTTACTTGTTTGTGACTCTGGGAAATTCATTTTCCTTTTTGACTTTTTGTTTCAATGGAGACAAGAATTCTCATTTTACAAATGTCATAGTGTCAGTTCATTCGTTCATTTCAATTATTCACTCGGGAGATGTTTCCTGAACACTGAGTCTTTGTCATTTGCTGGCCCTGGGTATGCTGAGCTCAAGACTACGTTCAACTTCAAAGACATAATGAAAGTGAAAACACTTTGTAAACTGCAAGTTTCTAACTAAACGTAAACTGCAGTATTATTTCCACTTCTGGAAAATTTGCATCTTATATGGTGATAACTGGAAGAAAAACAAGCCTGGCATAAAAGGCTGAATTCCTAATGATGAAATTTTAGGCATTCTGGAGTGTATGTGCGTGTACTTATGGTAGGGAGTGGTTAATAGTGAATGGGGGGAGGACACCGGAAGGAGGAAGAGTATTTCTCTATTATTATTATTTTATTGTGGGCCTGTAACAAGAAGTAGGGCTTTTACTTAGGAAACATTTTACTTAGGAAAAATCCCCCCATGGAAGGACAATAATGCCAGGCTTTCTCTAGAAATGGGAATAGAGAAGTGGAGTTCAACTTTCTTTGTGGAGCCCTAAAGATAAGCTCATACCATTGTTTGCTACTCAATCATTAGGAAAAGCAGGGTTTCTAGTCTCTGATAAACTTCCCTTGCTTATAAATACTATCTTTGCTGACTCTGTCTGAACTTCAAAGCTGATAATGAATATATTTTAACTTCCCACAAAAGGAAAGAGCTTGCCCCTTTATTAAAAACATCCATTCTGCCTGGAAGCCACCACATCACTGATTCTACTTCCTAGGGCCGGAGGGCTTGATGAAAACCTGGGCTGGATTTTCAGTGACTTCACTCTGAGAACGACCTTTTTGGAAGTCCTGGCGAAAAGGTCCTTTTTGTTTTTGGCCATTCACTTTCCAAAGAAGAATGAAAGACGACATATCTATCTAAACTTATACCTATGTCTATATCTATGTGTCTATAAATGTATATTGATAGGAATCTGGTGTCTGAGTTTGTCTTCCAAACGCCAATAGATTCATTCCCATGTGTTAGATATTATCTGTTTCTGGCTGTATAGTAGGTCCTTGGATCTTCAATGTATTATATTTAGCCTCATTCTGGGCCCTCTTACTTCTGCACGCAGAGGCTGAGTGCTTGGAACTGATACCAAATCTTTTAAGCCTTGTCTCCATCTTGGGTCCTGTCTGGGTCTCACTGCTGTGTCTGCAACTTGCCATTCCCTTTACTAGGTTTGTGCTGTGGAGGATGCTCCATCCTGGTGATTCCATCAACCTGACATGCGGTCTCCACCATCACCTCCTCGTTGAGCTCCTCTTAATCATGGCTGCCATGATACTGGGCACTGTGCTTCGTGCTCAGAAAGCATCATCTCCAGGTTGGGCGTGGTGGCTCGCACCTGTAATCCGAGCACTTTGGGAGGCCAAAGTGGGCAGATCACTTGAGGTCAGGAGTTCCAGACCAGTCTGACCAACATGGCAAAACCCATATCTACTAAAAATGCAAAAATTAGCTGGGTGTGGTGGCGGGCGCCTGTAATGCCAGCTACTCCAGAGGCTGAGGCATGACAATCGCTTGAACACAGGAGGCAGAGGTTGCAGTGAGCTGAGCTTTCACCACTGCACTCCAGTCTGAATGACAAAGCAAGGTTTTGTCTCAAAAAACAAAACAAAAAACAAAAAAGAAAGCGTCATCTCCAATCTTCATAACAACTCCAAAATGTGCACATATTATACCTGCTTTATGGATGAGGAAACTGCGACTCAGTGGCTCACTTGAGGCAACAGAACTGGCAAGTACAAGAGTTGGAATTTAAACTGCCACCCAGTTCCAGCCTCTGAGACCCTTTGACTCTGCCTTTGATTTTCTGAGCTTCTTTGGTATTTTTATGCAAGCCGTGATGAATGAAGGCCAGTGAAAGAACACCTCAATAAATGGCAGGTGTTATTATGAGGCTGGTACATGCTGGGTTACTTGAATACCTATAACCCAGCTCTGGTGTCTGTGAGTCCCTAGAGGCAGAAAGAAATATCCTGTCATCGCAAAACAATTCATTCATTTATTTAACATGTATTTGTAAAATGCTCTCATATGCTAGCACTATTTTAGGCACCAGGAATATAGCTGTGAAAAACAGACAGATATCTGCTCTCCAAGAGCATCAATTTACCAATCAATACTTTGCAGGTAGAGATAAATACTGTGGAGAAAAACACAATCGGTCAGAGGATAGAGTGAACCCCCAAGAAACTGGGCAGATGAATTCCCAGTTTATAT